CAATACAGAGGATCTCAGTTAATTCTAAGAAAGAACTTTCAAAAATGCAATATAGTTCAGAACTGGGCTCCCTTACAGTTCAGTAAGCCCCCTCTCTAGGGAGTCTTCACACAGAGGCCACCTGTTAGAAACGTGGCAAAGAGGACTTCTGCCCTAGAAGGGAGAGTAACTTCTGAACCCAAGATATGTGATCAGTGATATTTGGCAAGTGGGCATCTTCAGGTTTATACAAGGGTACTTTAAAAAATTCATGAAAAAATAGAATTAAAAAATAAAGACTCTTTCCGTGAACTTTTTGAAGATCCCTCGTATCCTCGTATATAGCAATCTCCTTTTTTTTTTTTTTTTTTTTTTGGTGGCTGGCTAGTATGGGGATCTGAACTGTTATAGCAATCATAATAGACACTGTTTTCAAGACAGCAGCAAAACCCTAACACAGTAAATGGCACCAACATCCACCCAGCTGCTCAGACCGAAAATCAGGGGCCAGGCTTCTCTTTCCAATTCCCCTCTTCTGATGAGTTCTTATTTCAAATTAGTCATCCTACAGTGGTGCCCACAGTTGAACTCTTTTCATGTTAAGCTGTGGTAAGTCAAAACCTATTTCAGAGAAAACAAAGACACCACTCTGGGGGGCTAAGAAAAGACATGGGTTTTAGGTGTTTTTAGTTGTTTGAAAAGAAAAAACCTCAAACTACTGAACTAGAAGCAATTTCTTTCTTTCTTTCTTTTTTTTTTTTTTTTGCGCGTATGTGTTCTACTTTGGCTTTAGCATTTCAGAAAGGAACAGCGGCAGATTCTATTTTTAATAATCACAGGGCTTTTGACATTCCTTATGTTCTGACTAAGGTAAAGAAAAAAGTTCAAGGTTCCTAAAGGAACTGTCAATATCTCTTCCCTGGAAATAGTATTGAATGCACAGTAAGCTACAATCCTGTCTTCAGAAAATCCCAAAGGCATCCTAATACAGCTCAGCCCTAGAGGAATGAAAGTGCCAGGAGGATCACCACTAGCTGATGGCATCAGGTCATCTCATGATGTCCCAGCCCCTTTCCCATTTCCTCTTTGCTCTGGTATCATTATTTACAAGGACCTGCTGACAGGGAAAGAAAAAAGTCCAGCAAACTTCCCATGACCCTTAGAACTAACATACCTGATGGTTGAAGCCAAAAGAGGAGGGAAAGGATGAAGAGGATTTCACCATGAGGGCTAGAAATGCAGACCAGCAGCCAAAAGACCCCCAAGCACCTCTCTGACTTTCTCCATGAGCCATCTGGCTGGGAATTGACTATCCAAAGTCCATGAATGAATAGAAGAGTATTAGGGAGAGCAGGTGATACTTTCCAACCTGGAACTTTGGGGTTTTTCACTAGTTTATTCAAAAAATATTTATCGAGTATCCTCTAAACAATAGTTTTAGCTCTAGTGACCCAGCAGTTACCTTTGACTCTCCCCTGACTAACTTCTGGTAAGGCCAGAGACCAAAGTTTCTTTCCTGTTTTTTCAATGCTATGAATTAGGACACATTTTTTTTTTCTATCTGTAGCCTCAAACTCCCATTGGATAATCTATTCAAAGCTGAATACTTGAATACATTCAGGAAGCAACATTAATATAGATTCACTTCATCTAAGAACAGACCCACATATCCAAAGCTGAGAGACACTTGCCTATTAATTAACATTACTCAGTCAATAAATATTTATTGAATGCCTCATATGTGTCAGATTCATCTAAGAACAGACCCACATATCCAAAGCTGAGAGACACTTGCCTATTAATTAACATTATTCAGTCAATAAATATTTATTGAATGCCTCATATGTGTCAGACTCTGGGTTAGTGATGTGGATAGAGCAGAAAAGCAAGGTAGAAAAGGCCTTGCTTTTGAAACTTTTATTCCAGTGCAAAAAACAATTGTTTTAAAAGTGGACAAAAAAGTATATAATCACAGATTACTTAGAAAGTAATAAATAACAATAAAATAATGAGGAAAAAAGGGGGCTCTACTCAGGAAGATGTGAGGAGGTGACATTTGAACCCCACGTGAGAGACCTGGAGGACAGCACTCCTGCAGAAGGAAGTGAAGCTCACATGGTGAAGACCACCTGCTCAGACCTTGGTCTCCACCTGGGAAATGAGAAATGCAGCCAGAGCTGGGGGCAGATGAAGGGTAAAGGGTCTGGGGAGGGTTGGTTTGGTTTGGGTTGGGTTGTCTTTTAATGAAAGGGGATTCTTGAACATATGTACACACTATTGGAAATGGTTTCATAGATGAGAATGGCTTGAGGATTCAGCGGGGGAAGAAGAAAATGTTAAAGGGCAAAGTAGGGAAGAGGAAACGTGGGTCTAGGGGACAAATGGAAATCATCCTCTTCCTCCACTGTAACCAGATGGAAGGAAGAGATCATGCAGATGCAGGTGTAACAGTTTTTGAGTATAGGGGAAGTTATATGATGGGAGAAGGGGATGTGATTGGTCTGTAAGAAGAAAACAATATGATATAATTGACTCTGAGAGAGAAAAACATGCTTACTAGGGAACTGAAGAAAAAGTGCTGGGCAGTGTTGAATGACAATTTCAGATCTGTGATCATTAATGTGAAGTGGTCGTTCTCAGCCAGGATAATTTTGTGTCCCCACCCACCCGCCTTCACCCCACCACCAGGGACATTGGGCAATGTTGTCATACATGGGGGAGGGGATGATGCTACTGGCATCTAGTGGGTAGAGGGCAGGGATGCTGCTAAATATACATAGATATTCATGCACAGAACAGCCCGCACAACAAAGAATTATCCAGCTCAGAATGTCAACAAAGCCAAGGTTGAGAAAGCCTTATGTAAATTGATGTCATGTTTGTGTATAGATCATTTCTGGGAGGCTACATAAGAAGATAGTGATTCTCTCTGGAGGCAGAAGTGGGGCCACTGAACAGGATGAAAAGAGGATTTATTTTCACCTTGTATTTTTGCATAACTTTTAAAATTTATACCATGTACATGTATTACCTATTCAAATCAACCAAAAGATAGAAATAGATTAGTGATAGATCAATAATTGATTGACTGATTTAAATCAATGATAGATAAAAGTAGAATGAAACCTGTCAGCTTGTTTAGGTAATTTTTTTCAAGTAACATCCAGCTGCAGGGATGCCAGCTTAAAGAAAATAGGATTTCTGCAAGGGGAATACAGTGGAGGAAGAAAGTATTTTCGAGTTGGGGGTCTTTTCAAGGTACCAATTTTAATGACAGATGAGAGAATCTAAGCCAGACAGAGAGCGGAGTAAAGATGAGGAAGAGGCTGATGGATACCTAAGAAAATGGTCGAGTTTGTTAATTAGAGGTTTCAATTTTTCTTTTTTTTTAATTTTTAGAAAAGAAAATGTTGGATCAATTGAGCTGGAATAATAGGGGGTGATGTGAAAATAAGACATCTGAAATTAAATTCCAGAGGCAGTATTGTAATTTCTAATAATAGCAAAGTCTAGGGAGAGTCCATGATAATGAGTAGTTGAAGAAAATAGGAAAAGGTCATTGTGAGTGACAGCAGTGAGACTGCAAGAAACCAGGTATTTAGATGCATCCCCCAGATCAGTGGCTTCTTCTGGAGAATGACTTAATAACAATAGGTATCATTTTTTGACATTCTGTGTGTCAGATACTTTATGAATGTATCAGCTCTTTTTTTGTCCAAGAAAGGCCAAGTGACCTCCCCAGAGATTGCATAGTTAGTACATGGAAGAACAGATTCAAATCTAGATTATTAGTCTGTGCCATTCCCACTCCAGGAAAAGACACCTTGTCACCAAATCTATGGAAAGGTGGGTGAGCTTAACTCTGGCATAATATTGGTAATAGAAATTCTGGTCATGTCTCCTCACTTGACCCAAGTAGGCTTAAGAAGACCCTCATTCAAGACAACATTCTCAGTGTCTGTAACAAGAAACCATAACGGAGAGAATCCCAAAGGACTTTTCTTAGAGCTTATATAAGCCAAAAAATGTTTTAGATTCCTCAAAATTGACCAGAGAGAGCTCAGATACATTGACATATAAATGGTCAGCACTGGTAAGATTGAACACTGCCCCTAGGTAGCTGCTGTGGGCCCACATCTGCCCAGTAGTGCAGTAATTCATGATCTTCTCCTCCATCAGCACCAGATCCTGGGGGTACTTAGAGTTCCTCATGAAGACCTTGTGGTTCAGGGGCTGGTTGTTGCAGGACTGACCTCGGAAGTACACTTTGGAATACACAAAGTACAGTCCAGTATCATTGATCACAAGGCCACCCTTCTTATACCTCACTCCAGAGAGCAGGGCATTTCCATACGTATCTTCCCATTCCAGAGGGATGGATCTTGAGTTGGGCTTGCCTGAAATAAATCAGAGAGGAACTTTCAGCCAGGAATGCTGGAGCATCCAACAAACTAAGCCTCTAAGGCAAAACTGTGGGCCCTTCCTTTAACAAATGCTTTACCCAGAATGGCATAGCCCATATAGAACTAGCTGAGGGGCCAGAATTCCATCTATCACCTAATTCCTTCAACACTTTTGCAAATTTCCTGCCTCAATTTTATTATCCACAAAATTATTCCTAATCAGCTGCAATGGCAAATTATTGAGACAATTTTAACTCTCTGGAATAAAGATTTTATTATCTTTAGACCTAGCACCAAAACTGCTGGGTTTTGAGACCCCTCCGTGAAGGGATAAATCAGATCTGAGGAACTCTAAAGTTCTAATGTTGGGAAGGATCTTAGGGATCACCTGGTCCATCTTCTCACCTACAGCAGGGATTCAGTTTCTCAGTTTGGGCTAAAGTCCCCTTTCTTTTGTATCTCCACAGTTTTATGTACATACCTTAACCAGAGAACTCACTCTAGTACTGAAATATCACTACATGCCTGTGTTTTTCTATTAGATATCAAGCTCCTTGGAGACAGGAATCATGTGTTATTCATCTCCATGTCCCCAAAGCTTGGCACACAGCAGATGCTCAATAAGTGTCTGCTGATCTGACCAGATCATTCTACAGCCTGTGCCTAAACAATGACAAGGACAGTGGCATAACACTTTCTACGATATTTGTCCACTTTTCCAATACTTATGAAGTTTGCAGTATGAAGTTTACAGAGAGTACCCATACCATATCGCTATCAAATTACTTCACTCCACTTCACAATCACAAGCTAAAAGTCCACATGTGCCAGATTCAAGGACTGAGTCTCCCCTCTAAGTCCTATTTCTACTATTGGACAAAGCAGATTGAAGTTCTTCTAGAAAACCAGGAAAACACTGACTAAAATAATTAATTCTCCCCCACCTTTGCTGCTCTTACCTCTTGGAGCTGTGCTCCAAATTCCCCAAGGGTCCTAGGAATGTTTAAAAAGAGTGAGCTCCTTATGGGCAGGGATCATCCCATAATCGCTCCTGTCTCTAATTTGGAACAAAGTGGGGCTCATTATATGTTTGTGAGATCGACCTGAATAGAAAGATGTATCTTGGATTCCAAATACCACCTCCAGAAAGTAAAAACTCCCTTACAGCCTAGTAATGGAAACCAATCAGCCATTCTGCTTTTTGTCAAAGCTTTCCCAAACCCACTTGTACCTTCCAGTTACAGACCTGTTAAATGGGCCACTTTCTTCAGTTCCTTTTTTTCAGAGGGTGGATTGGGGTGGCCTGTATCACAGAGAGATGAAAGAAGTATGTGAAAATGAGATACCAACTATTATTTTGGTGGGACTCCAAACCCCACTATTTAAATAAAAGATTTTAAAAGCATCAATGGCAACAGTCTAACATATACCAATCATGCAAGTCCAGACTGTAGGACTCACAGCAGTCCATATGTCAGAAACAGAGGTAACAGGTAAACCAAATTAAGATAGACATATGCATAAACTATAATATTATGATAATACATATATAAAGGTTCATTTATGAAGAGCTGTCATAACAGTTACTACATGTAGTACTCGCCACAATCCTTTGAGATACGGATTACTGTCCCATTTTACAATGACGAAAGGAGCTTAGAAGTTGAGTGACTAGTCCAAGAAGACCCAGCTACTCAGTGCCAGAGATGGGACTAACACTCTGGTCTCCTGACTCCATATTCAGGGCTCTGTCCACACTGGTCTGCTAACCCTAGGGCTCTGCAGGACAGAGGCTGAGGAAGACTGCTACTTCAGCCCCTAGCCACCAGGTCTTCCCCGCATGACATTCTATAATCTGCCCCAAATTAATTATCCTAAGGCCTCCAACAATCGCATCAGACCACTGAGGCCTCCATCACCTTTAATGGCTCCTCACAGATCAGGCAGTTGCATGCAGGTTTCCCCATTGCATGATCACGGTCTGTCTGTCCAGCCTGATTTCCTCTCCTCCCTCACGCTGGACACTGCCACACAACAGGAGTTCTGTGACCTGAACACACCCCACCTCGCCGCCTCTGTGTCTTAGCTCATGCTGTGCCTCTGTCAGAATGGCCTCTCAGACAGATCTTTGCATCAAATTCTTAACAATCCTGTGAGGACCATCTAAAATATCTTTCTTTGAGAAACCCTCCTAAGTTTTTTTTAAATCAAATATGGTCTTTCCCTCCCTTAAAACCAAGCATGCCTCTGTCTTCCACCTCTTGTCAGTTCTGACTCTCCATTTCTGCGGTAACTGAAATAATGGCACGTTCCTCACTATACATTGAATTCACTGGAGTATTTAGCCCAGTTTCTAACACAGGACATGTGATCAGTAAACATTTACCAAATTAAACTGAAGGAGTTAAAATAACAATAGATCTCAAAATAGACACTATTTCTCTGACTTTAAGTATGTCAGCCAAAGTAGAGAGCTACCACTTAGCTAATGGATTCGGCTAACTAAGAGATTCAGAAACATTCACAGAAAAGTGCTTGCCTATATCAGGCTCATGATTGTGTCTGAAACTCACGTATGGCATGAGAGTGGCTCGATCTACTGAGGACATTACCTGAGCAATTATGACCTCTCAAGCCATCCAAGACAATCCACCACGAATGGGGTGTCAGTGAACAGAAAAGGCAAGACTGACACCCCTCTACATTCCTATACCACAAACCATCTAAGTAGCTGATCAGCATTCAGCCACGAACAGACAGGAAATGGAACAAAGAACCACATGCTGCATATCTTTATGTCCCTCACAGGGCCTAGTACAATGTTCTTCTCCCAGAAAATACTTACTGAAAATATCTGCTGGATACATACTGAAATAAATAAACTGGAAATATATCCTAGACATTGGTAATGACCCTTTCCTGCCCCAGGGCCTTTGCACATGTTATTTCCCATCCCCTCCATCCCACTTCACAACACATATATGCAACTCTTCACTTGGTGGGCTCCTGACCCTCAGGTATCAGCCAAAATGATACCTCCTTAGAGGAGACTTTCCAGACCACTCCAACTTCGGTCACACTTAGTATAATCTGAAATTATGTTATTTGTTTCCTTGCTTTGTTTATCTTCATCACACTAAAAACTCTATGAGCATAGGCCCCCTTGTCCCTTTCATTCTCAACCACCATCCAGCACCCAACACCCAGCCTGGCACATAGGAAGGTCTCCAAGAACACTTGTGAATGAATAAAAGATTTAATTAGTTAACTGTGGGAAAAAAAAATGGAAAATGAAAAAAAAGAAGCAAATAAGAAAGAATACTTTATAATAATACTTCGCAGAGAAAATCACTGTTAATGTGTTGATATGTAAGACTTTCTAGTTTTTTTCTAAGAATATAAAAATATGAATATATACTTTCACAGTCAGCATTAAACTAACAGCATTAAATATCCTTCCGATATACAGTTTTTAGTTGATGCCTATTATGCTCTCATCTGAATGCACCACCATGCATTTAATTAATCTTCTTTTATGAGGTAGTTAAGTTTCTTCTTAATGTTTATTATAAATAGTCTCATAAGGAAGTAAAGAACATTTTTATATATAAATCATTGGACACATCTCTGATAATTTTCTTTATATAAATTGGTGATGGGATCATAGGGTAAACTAATAGTTTCAAGTTTTTGATATGTATTTCCAGACTGCTCTTCAGAAAAGTTGTAGCAATTTACATGCACATAGGTCCTTTTCTCTTACATCTTTACTAACCTGGATTTCTTTTAATCTTTAATAATCTGGAGGGTAAAAATAGGTATCCCCTTGTTTTAATTTGTATCTCTTAGTAGTAAAGTTACTAATTTGATTTCCGTGTGATAATTCACCAATTTATGGCCCATCTGGGCTGATCTACAGAAGATAATTATTTACTGGGGTAGGTAGACCTGACTCATCTGTTCATTTGACTTTTAATCACTAAAATGACTCCAGAGAGTGGGTGAAAGATGAGTAATTAGGTATCTGTTTCACCAGCCACATTCCACTGATTTTCAAAGTGATTTTGTTTTAGGGGCCGGCCTGGTGGCGCACTGGATAGTGCGCCGCTTGGGAAGCGCGGCGGCGCTCCCGCCCGAGGGTTCGGATCCCACATACAGACCGGTTCCCGCTCACTGGCTGAGCGAGGCGCGGGAGCAACGCCGAGGGTTGCGATCCCGTTGCCGGTCCCCGGTCCGGTACGGGGGCAACACTGAGGGTTGCGATCCGTTGCCGGACACGGAAAAAGACAAAAGACAAAAAAAAAAAAAAAAAAAAGTGATTTTGTTTTAGATCTCCTCCAGAGATTTCGTTTTTCTAACAAATATTTCCACTCTGCTGTGTACATGTGGACTGTCTAGCACTTAGGGATGTGGACCCAGAACTAGGGACCAGAGTATCCTAACGATGACTCCACTCTAAGCCAGTAGGCTGATCTGGATCACCTGCAGTGGGTACATCCTGAGAAACTGAAACTAGCTCCACTTAACAGATGGCCATGTTGCCTTCTGGTTTCTTTCCTATTTCTAAGGATGAGATTTACCTCTTGTCTTAAGAGGTATCCTGATTTTCATCTATTTCTCATTCCATGGCCATTTTAGAGAGACAAGAGTTTTCCTATTTCAGTAAGCCCAAGTCATGTCCTGGAATGCCCTGTAGGGAACAAGGCATCAGGAGCCTGTGTTCCTTCTGTCCATTCCCACAGCAGTGGTCTTGGGAATATCACCTCGATCTTTCTGGTAATTTTGTTTCCCTTCTGAAAAATATCTCAGGACCAGATAGACTCTAAGCTCCCTTCCAACTCTAACCAAATCTAAAAATTCAATGAATCTTAGTTTAATACAAGTGAAGCATATCCTAAAATCTATCTATCCACAGCTTCTGCAACCATTCCCTGAAATGTCATGAGGTCAGTTCTCAACATTGTCATCTTCTTTATCTCCTGGATCTTGTACCAAGGACTTTCCTTTGTTATCGAAGATAGTTTATGACTGTTTCTGTCTGTGAAGCTGAACAATCCCTTGAATAATGGCTAAGGTCTTCCCCCAAGTTTTTCAGTGTCTTCCAAAAATCAAACAACAACAACAAAAAAAACAAATCCTAATGTGGGCATTTGATTGTCTACTTTTTAAAAGCTTATCTATATCCTATAAAATATTTTAAAAATAAAGCTTGACTCTTGAGTAATCTCTTTTAGAAAGTTTCAAAGAGGAGAGGACATTTCCCAGAAACACCTGTCTCAGACCTCACCTCCCCTGCTCTTCCTAGGAGTTACAGCCACTGCAATGTGTGCCAGAAACAGAATGCCTGAGGACAGGGACAGTTCTAGAGCCAGCTGCTCATGGGGCAAAGGTCCAGGGTTGTACACGTGTGTCTCTTTCCAAAGTCAAGTGGAAGTTACTTTGAATTGTGTGCAGTGCTTAGCTACAATGATTTTGAGCAATTGAATTCACTTCGTATTTTAAAGCAGCTCATGGAACCACATTGACCAGAGATTCAGAATAAGCCAGGATTCCTCTCACAGTATACATAAGCCCAAGAATGGGATGGAATTCAAGGCATTCCACCAACAGTGTTCGGTGTTGAGGATTATCTTTGGGAACTCAATGTACATGCATAAAAGGACTCACCTATTTGTTTCTCCAAAGATGATTCTGTATGCTTTTGGCTGGTGGACTGACAAAAGAGAAAGAGAAAAGATATATAAGATAAATATGAGTTTCTTTAAGCAAAGGAGGCAGAATTATCAAGTAAACTGAGCCCTGGAAATAGAATTCAAATACCTCAGAATCTTTCTTAACTCACGCTTTGTCCAAGCAATTGTGCCTCACTGTCACTCAGTTTTGTGATTTGCAATATCAATATTTTTAAGTATTTTCAAGGAGACTTAGTTTGGCTATTTGAACAAATCCATTTCTAAGGCAAGACTCAAAATTCTTTTTATTCCTTGAATCATTAGGTATGAGACACCAAGTTCAACAGACAAACTTGACAACTGAGAACGGAAAAACTGTTTGGCTGTCATTCTTTACAAGATAGAAAATATTCCTTTCACTAATATGAGCCTCTATTTCTCTGCCTACAGAATTAAATGACTAGAATGATCCATCTCTAAGATGAAAAAAAAAAAAAGATTGAAAGGCACTTTGCAAGCAAGGCAAGGGTCCATGTGGACGACAGTCACCCTCCACCCCACACTGCAGCAGAGCTTCCTTACGCCTGGTGACACCAGGGCACAGCAGTCCACATGCCAGACTTACCTCTCGGAGTTCAGCCAGCTCCTTCTGTAGGTGGAAGACCTGAAACATCCCCATCCCCAATCCAACCAGGGCCACGAGAACCATGAAAAACATCACAAGGAGATATAAGCCTGTGTTGTGGTCTCTCTTCTTCTTCAGAGGTGGCAGTGGTAATGGGGGCAGCGGTGGCGGTGGTGCTGGTGGCCGTGGAGGCGGAGGTGGTGGCCTCCTTTGACCAGGCCTTCCAGGCACAGAGGACGGGCATGGGAGAACTGACCCTGGAGGGGCCCAGGGAGAGCTGGCACTGCTGTCCACCCAGTAGACTTGGGGATATGGGTAATTGAAGGGCTGCTGCATGTCAGCCAGTGACTCGTGCCAGCCCTGGCAAAGGGTTTTACTTCTCAATCCTGTGGCAGCTGAGATGTCAAGGACAGGACTCCTACTGCTGACTGCTCGCGAGAAGGGAAACAAGCTCTCTCTTTATAGAGTTTCCACAGCCAAGGGAAACACCTCTCTCTCCGGCTCTTGCTCTCTTGTTCTCTCACGTTCTCAGTCTTTCTTTTTCTGTTTCTGCTCCTCAGAGAGACACCCACTCACTTTGCATCTGAAGATGAGAAGCCTCAAGAAGCTCAGAGCAAACCCCTGGAAGTTTCCACCCACAATATTCTGGTGAAAGCCTTTGAAGCCCCAATTGCTGTAGCTGTGCCACCTGAAAAGTCTGCGAGGCTAGGCTCACCTTCCTCAGGTCCTGCAGAGCAGGTCAGCCTTCAGCATAGCTCTGTGGGTGTCATCTGCTGCCCAGCTACAGGGACAGTAGCCAGGGAGGCTTGTTCAGAGACTGAGGAGTGAAGTCACCGAGACAGGGCCAGAGAAGTCACTTCCACACCTTACCTTTTGCATGAGGATATCATCCCCTGCTGCCATCCCTTCCCCACACCCGGATAGTTTTTATGGTGACATTGCAAATCACCACAATTTACAGGTTAAAAACCTGCCCCACCCAATTGAGAGATTAGATCAGAGGTTGCAAGCCGATGCCCCATTTGCCTTGTGGAACCCACAGGCCTGTTTTGTTTATACTTCACTATGTTTTTCTTTTCACTGGTTGCCCACTCTTTGATCAATAGTTTTAATTGACACATAATAATCGCACATGTTTATGGAGTACAGTGTGGTATTTGGATACACGTATACAATGTGTAATGATCAAATCAGGATAATTAGCATATCAATCACCTCAAACATTTGTGCTTTCTTTATGTTGGGAACATTCACAATCTTCTCTTTTAGCTATTTGAAATGATACAATAAATTGTTGTTAACTATAATCACCCTACAGTGCTACAGGACACTAGATCTTATTCCTCCTATCTGGTTGTAATTTTGTATTTGTTGAACAACCTCTCCCTCTCCATCCCCCTCCACCTTTCCCAGCCTCTAGTAACCACTGTTATACTCTCTACTTTTCTGAGATCAACTTTTTTAGCTTCCACAAATGAGTGAGAACATGAAGTATTTAACCTTTCTGTGCCTGGCTTATTTCACTTAACATAATGCCCTCTGGGCTTATCCATGTTTCCACAAATGACAGGATTTCATTTTTTTTTTTAAATAGTATTCCATTATGTATATAGTACTCCAGTGTGTATACAGAGCTGAATAGTATTCCATTGTGTATATATTCCACATTTTCTTTATCCAATCATGTGTCAATGGACACTTAGGTTGATTCTATCTCTTGGCTATTGTGAATAGAGTTGCCATGAACATGAGCGCAGGTATCCCTTTGACATACTGATTTCCTTTCCATTGGGTATATACCCAGTAGAGGGATTGCTGGGTCATATCATAGTTCTATTTGTAGTTTTTTTGAGAAACTGCTATATTGTTTTCCATAATGACTATACAAATTTACTTTCCTGCCCAAAGTGTATGAGCTCCCTTTTTTCCATGTTTTCACCAGCATTTGTTATTCTTTGTCCTTTTGATAATAGCCATTCTAACTGGGGTGAGATGGTATCTTATTGTGGTTTTGATGTGCATTTCCCTGATGTTTAGAGATGTGCATTTTTTCATATACTTGTTGACCATTTGTATGTGTTCTTTTGAGAAATATCTATTCAGCTCATTTACCTATATTTTAATTGGATTATTTGTTTTTGTTCTTGTTGTTGAGTTGTTTGAGTTCCTTGTGTATTCTGGATATTAATGCTTCATTGCTTGCATTGTTTGAAAGTATTATCTCTGACTCTTCAGGTTGTTTCTTCACCCTGTTGATTGTTTCCTTTGTTATACAGAAGCTTTTTAGTTTGATATAATCACATTTGTCTATTTTTGTTTCTATTGCCTGTGCTTTTGAGGTCTTATTTATAAAAACTTTGCCTAGCTCAATGTCCTGAAGCATTTTCCCTATGTTGTCTTCTGATAATTTCACAGTTTTAGGTCTTAACATTTAAGTCTTAAATTCATTTTGAGTTGATTTTTGTGTATGGTGAGAGATGGGAGTCTAATTTCATTCTTCTGAATATGGACTTTCAGTTTTTTCAGCACCATCTATTAGAGAGATTGTCCTTTCCCCAATGTATGTTCTTGAAACCTTTGTCAAAAATCTGTTTGCCCTAGACATGCGGTTTTATTTCTGGGTTCTCTGTTCTGTTCCATTGGTCTGTGTGTCTGTTTTTGTCTCAGTACAATGCTGTTTTGATTATAATAGCTTTGTAGTACATTTTCAAATCAGGTAGTGTGATGTCTCCATCTTTGTTCTTTTTGCTCAGGATTGCTTTGGCTCTTCAAGGTCTTTTGTGGTTCCATATGAATTTTAGGAGTGTTTTTTCTATGTTTGTGAGGAATGACATTGATATTTTGATAGGGATTGCCTTGAACCCATAGATTGCTTTGGGTAGCATGGTCATTTTAACAATACTTTTTCTTCCCGTGAGTGAACATGAGAAGTTTTTCCATTTTTTTTGTGTGTGTGTTCTCTTCCATTTCTTTCATCAGTTCTTTATAGTCTTCCTTGTAGAGATCTTTTACTTTCTTGGTTAAATTATTCCTTGGTATTTATATTTTCTAGTTATAGTAAATAGAATTACTTTCTTCCTTCCTTTGTTAGCTAGTTCATTTTTGGTGTATAGAAACACTAATGATTTTTATATGTTGATTTTCTATTCTACAACTTTACTGAACTTATTTATCAGATCTAAGGTTTTTTGGTGGACTGTTTATGTTTATATATAAAATAATGTTGTCTGAAAACAGTGACAATTTGACCTACTACTTTCCTATCTGAATGCCTTTTATTTATTTCTCTTACCTAATTGCTCTGCCTAGAAAGTCCTCCTGGATGTTGAATAAAAGCAGAAAGAGTACTCATCTTTGTCATGTTCCAGTTCTTAGGGGGAAATGTTTTAGCTTTTACCCATTCAGTATGATGTTACCTATAGGTTTGTCATATAGGGCCTTTTATTGTGTTGAGATACATTTCTTCTGCATCTAATTTATTGACAGTTTTTATCTGGAAGCAATGTTAAATTTTATCAAAAGCTTTTTCTGCGTCTGCTGAGATGCTCATAATGGTTTTTACCTTCATTTTGTTGATGTAATGTTTTACATTTATTCATTTCTACACATTGAGCCATCCTTGCATCCCTGGGATAAATCCCATTTGATTATGGTGTATAATGTTTGTGATGTGCTGTTGGGTTCATTTTGCCAGTATTTTGTTAAGGATTCTTTCATCTATGTTTATCGGGAGTACTGTTCTGTAGTTTTCTTTTTCTGTTGTGTCTCTGGTTTTGGTATCAGAGGGATACTGAACTGATAGAACGAGGTTAGAAGAATTCCATCCACTTCAATTTTTTGAAAAATTTTGAGAATAATTGGTATCAGTCCTTGTATTAGTCTGTTTTTGTTGCTTATAACAAAGTACACTGAACAGGGTGATTTATAAAGAAAATGAAATTTATTGCTTACAATTTCTGAGACTGGGAAGTCCAAAGTCCATCTGGTGTTGGTGACAGTGACCCAAGGGTCTCACATTGCAAGATGGTAGAAGCAGAGAAAGCAGAGAGAGAGAAAAGAGAGACTCTCCTCTTCTTTCAAAGCCCTCAGAACCACGCTCCTGACCACCATTTTTAATCCATTCACTACTGCATGGGCCTACAATCCAATCACCTCTTCAAGGCTCCACCTTTCAATTACCATAATAGGATTTCTCACCCTCTTAACAGTTACAGTGGGGGCCAAGTTTCTAGTGCATAAAACTTGGGGTACACAATTGAAACTTCAATGAGTTTGGGGGGACACGATTGAATCCACTACAGTTCTTTAAAAGTTTTGTAGAAATCAGCAGTAAAGTCACCTGGTCCCGAGTTTTTCTTTCTTGCGAGTATTTTTATTTCTGATTCGATCTTATTATTGGCCTGTTCAGTTTTTCTATTTCTTCTTGGTTCAATCTTGGTAGGTCATATGTGTTCAGTAATTTATCTATTTCCTCTAGGTTTTCCAATTTGTTGACATACAGTTGTTCATAACAGTCTCTTATGATCCTTTGTATTTCTGTATTATTAGTTACAATGTGTCCTTTATCATTCCTTATTTTATGTATTTGCATATTTTCTCTTTTTTCTTGGTTAGTCTAGCTAAAGGTCTGTAGATTTTGTCTATATTTTCCAAAAAATAACTTTTTATTTCACTGATCTTTTGTATTGCTCTTTTAGCCTCAATTTTGTTTATTTCTATTCTGATTTTTATTTCTTTTCTTCTAATTATTTTGGATTTGTTTTGGTTTTGCTTTTCTAATTCCTTTAGGTGCATCATTAGTTTATTTTGAAATCTTTCTATTTGTTTGGTGTAGGTACTTATTGCTATAAACTTCCCTCTCAGTACTGTTTTGGTATCCCATCAGTTTTGGTATGTTGTGTTTGTGTCTTTGTTTCAAGAATTTCTTTAATTTCTTTCTTAATTTCTTCATTGAACCATTGGTCTTTCCAGAGTATGTTGTTTAATTTCTGTGTATTTGTACAGTTTCCAAAGTTCCTCTTATTATTGATTTCTAATTTGACTCTACCATAGTCAGAAAGGTTACTTGATATTATTTCAATCTTTTTAAACTTTTTGAGACTTGTTTTGTGGGTTAACGTGGTAATCCTGAAAAATGTTCCATGTGCTGTTGAGTAGAATGTGTGTTCTGCAGCTGTTAGGATACAACTTCTGTAAGTGTCTATTATGTCCATTTGATTTATAGCACAGTTTAAATCCGACATTTCTTTGTTGATTTTCTGTCTAGATGATATGTCCAATAATGAGAGTAGGGTGTTGAAATCCCTAAAGATTATTGAGTTGGTGTCTGTCTGTCTCTCCCTTTAAATCTGATAATGTTTGCTTTATATATCTGGATGCTGCAGTGTTGGCTGCACATACACTTGCAATTGTTATATGCTCTTGCTGAATTGGTCCCTTTATCATTATATAATGTCTTTATTTGTCTCTTTAGTTTTTAATTTAAAATCTGTTTTAT